CCCCCCCCCCCCCCCCCCCGAGAGATTCAAGTTCAGATTCAGTTAACCTAGACTCTTGCATATACAATCATCATCCCTCCCTTTTCCCCACCGTCAATCAGATCACCTTACCCCGCCAATAAACTCGGGGGGGCTCTATCCTTCAGCTCTACCAGACTAATCATGTTGACTGCTAATACTTCCCAGTAATAGCGGGCAGAAAAAGGACACACAACTCCTTTTCTTTTTTTTTTTTTCTTTTTTTCTCTTCTTTTTTTTTTTCTTTCATTCCGTTCACTCTTTCTATCTCGGTTCTTCGGACGTGAACACCCATTCTCGACACTTGGGAAAGCAGAAGAAGAGAGAGAATTTATATTAAGAAAAAAAGAGATTATTTTTCTTTTTTTAAAAAAAAAGAAAAGAAAAGACCAAGAACAAGAAGAACAACAAAGAGTCAAATCACCAAGAATGGCTCCTTCGACTCTCGACCTGATGATTCTTACCTTTAACTGTGCCAAGAACCTGATCGATGTCGACGTCTTTGCCCATCACTTGAAGGATGCTCTGGGGCGAAATGGCCCTGATGATGGGCATCTGCCTGATATTGTTGTCTTGTAAGCTATTCATCTCATTCTACATCTCTATTCTTTTACACGCTCCTCTCTCCCTCGTACACTCGTTGCTTTTATTCTCGTCTTATAGAACTTGTACGCCTTCTTCTTCCCTTGCACTCGTCATTTCATGGATGGCTGACTGCTCTTCTACTCTCCTCCAATCTTTTTGGGGGGGTTTTTTTATAAATAAAAACAAAAACAGCTCCCTCCAAGAAATTGCTCCGCTCGGCTACTCCTTCGTAGGCGGATACTTTCTCAACGCCTACCTTTCCCGATTCCAAGACGCCCTCAACCTAGCCGCCGTGCGATATCACGACGGTGCTACTCCATCACCATCATCATCGACATCTCCCAAACCCGACAGCGACGGCAACGGCGAGAGCGGAGACGGGCAGAGAGAGCGCCACCGCCAACCTTACAAGCTCGTGACGGCCCGTAATGTCGGGTACACTGCCATCGTCATGCTGGCACGCGACCCGGCACGCGTGCAGGACCTGCAAGAGGCCGAGGTCAGGTTCGGCACCGCCGACATGGGCAACAAGGGCGCCGTCGGTCTGCGATGCCTATACAACCAAGGCGGCAGCGGAACCGGCAGCGGAACCGGCGCCGGGGACGACGACGGGGACGGGGCCCAGACGGAGCTGACCTTTGTGGCTACCCACCTAGCCGCCATGGAGTGGAACCTCGCCAGGCGCAACGCCGACTGGGCCGCCATAATGCGCGCCTTGACGTTTGCCGATCCCGAGGCGGCGGTGGCGCGACAGCAGAAGAAGCCGCAGAAACAGCGGAAGCAGCAGGAACGGCAGCAGGAACGGCAGCAGGAGAGACGACAGACGGAGACTTGCGGACTGCTACGGAATGTCGACGCCGACGCCGACGCCGACGACGACGACGACGACGACGACGACGACGCGGCTCACCGCCGCGAACTGCACAGCCTATCCATCTTCAAACCGTCGTCGCACCTCTTCGTGGCGGGCGACCTCAACTACCGCATCTCGACCACGCCCCCGCCGCCGGGCGCCCCCTTCCCGGACGAGGACCCGGCCTCGGACAAGCACTACATGCGCTTCCGTCACCTGGACCAGCTGACGCGCGAGAGGGACGCGGGCCGCACCCTGCACGGCATGTCCGAGGCCGACGTCTCCTTCCCGCCCACGTACAAGTACAAGGTCACCGGCAGGCCCGCCTCCGACGCCGCCGCCGCCGCCCACCGCCGCCGCGAACTCACCTGGCACTTTGCCCCGCACCGCTACCCTGCCTGGACGGATCGCATCCTCTACCTGGACACGCCCGGTTCCGGCCACGGTGGCGGCAGCGGCGGCAGCAGCAGCGGCGGCGGCGGAAGCAGCGTCCCCCCCATCGTCACGCGCGCCTACGAAGCCCTGCCCGTCATGGAGACGAGCGACCACCGCGCCGTCTTCTGGCGCGCAGACGTCCCCCTCATCGGTCCGGGCCGCATGAGGGCCCTCGTCGCCGGGTCGGCGGAGAGCAAGGGTCAGACCGTGCCGGATCCGCGCTCCCGCCTACCGGTCGAGATCGACCCGGCGGCATGGGGTAGGAGGTCCGCCGCCCGCGGCAAGGAGCTCGTCGTCGGCTGGGCCGCGCTGCTGTCGAGCACCTGGGAGGGAGGCCTGGCTTGGACATCGGTCGCTGCCTTGACAGTGGCTTGGTGGTATTGGCTTTCCATGACGGCTGAGCCTCAACAACTTTGATGGGGTTTTCCTTTTCGAGTTGCTTTTCCCCCCTATTTTTCTTCTCTTCTCTCTTCTCTTCTCTTCTTCTTCTTTGGCTATTCCTTTTCTTTTTATTCTTTACAACAACAGGATATCTCGATGTCTGGTCAAGGCGTTTTCTATTTATTGCCGGGGGGGGGGAGAGGCTGGACATGATGGGATATATATTGTAGGTGTATATGAGATTTACATGTACATGCTTGTTCAATGGGCTTAGATATCATAGAGATAAATATATTGTTAGAGATGATAGGAAAGCAGTCGATGGCTTATTTTTTTTTAAAAAAATAAAAAAATAAAAAAAGAAGAAAAGAAGAAGAAAATACTTCGTCTACGGAATATATACAAACCCCACCATTCTTCAACTCTCGACACATTTCACTTCTTTCCGATTTCTCAACAAGCTGTGTACGATTTCGGAGAAGTCAAAAAGGCTAGTCGTGTTCAGAATCAACGTGATTATATTCAACAACCAACATCCCCCCTTCCCCTCCAAAAACGAAGGGGAAGCAAATAAGACAAAAAAATATTCGCCATCCCGCTTGCGTATCTGACAATACCCAATTGTCCGGATCATCTACTTTGACTAGGTAACCCATTGAGAAAGAATTAGGATAGAATGAAAAGTACCTCGAGATTACACCCCCAAGGACAAGTGAAGAAGAAGAAGAAAAGAGACAAAAAAAAAAGAGACAAAAATGTACAGATCCATGTCTTGACATGTATTGTTGAGATATTCTACCACCAGGGTACGTGTGTGTGTATAGTCTAAATATGTAATAGTGCAAATGTCCGCATATATATATATATATATATGTGTGTGTGTGTGTGTGTGTGTGCGTGTGTGTGTGTGTGCGTGCGTGTGCGTGTGTGCATGTGTGTCGTGTGTTTTGAGGGTGGACAGGTTAAAAATCACAAAAGTACCGATCATACTCTTGCGCCATCTCAGCCGTGTACTCTACCCTCCTGGACCCGTCATCCTCGGGGTAGTTGTCGAAGCACTGGGCGTCGCCGGGGAAGCGGACGGGCGGGATGATGGGGCCGGTGCCGCGGGCGTGGGAGATGTCGTCCCAGTTGACGCCGCGGAAGAAGGGGTGCTCCTTCACGCGCTGAGCTCCTCCGCTGATGTTGCCCAGCCGGTGGGAGCGGTCCTTCGTGCAGAAGGAGAGGATGATGCTCTTCGCCTCGTCCGAGATCTGGGGCTCCCGAGGGAAGACGAGCGGTTTCTCGATGATTCTGCCTCACCTTGTCAGATGGGACGGGTTCTCGTCAAGAGACAGAGACGGCGAGGAGGGAGGGGGGAGGGGGGAGGGGGGGATCTGTCTGCTCGAGAGACGGGAGACGGAGACGGAGCCGGGGGCAGGAAAGAACGCACTGTTTGTAGATCTCAATCGGATTCTGATGCCAGAATGGAGGGTAGCCGGTCAGGAACTCGTAGAGCAGGATGCCCAGGGCCCACCAGTCCACGGCGGCCGAGTGTCCCTTGTTGTGTATGACCTCGGGGGCCAGGTACTCCGGTGTGCCGCACAGGGTATACGTCTCGACGGGCTTGTCGTGGTCGCCTGCCGCCGCACCGTCCGCGCTCACGCCCGCGCCGGCATCGCCGCCGCTCTTGCGACCACCGAGACGCTTCGCGAAGCCGAAGTCGACGAGCTTTATGTGGCCGGCCGCGTCGAGCAGGAGGTTTTCAGGCTTCAGGTCGCGGTAGGCCACGCCGCCCTGGTCTTCGTGGAGGTACTGGAGCACGCAGACGATCTCGGCGGCGTAGAAGCGGGCCGTGTGCTCGTCGAAGCGGCGCAGCCTGCGCAGGTAGCTGAAGAGCTCGCCGCCGGGCACGTAGTCGAGTAGCATGTAGAGGGAGTCGCGGTCGGAGAAGGAGGCGCGCAGGCAGGTGATGAAGGGGTGTCCGGCAATCTCGGCGAGGATGGAGCGCTCGTGGCGCACGTGGTCGATCTGCTTGAGCTTGATGATTTCCGTCTTGCGCAGTATCTTTAGGGCGTAGAAGGACTGGTCGGAGGGCGAGGAGGACGAGGAGTGCTGAACGGGCTGGACTAGACAGACGCGCGCAAATGTGCCTTTCCCCCCCCCCGTTCATTGTGCGCGTCAGCATTTCTCTCTCTCTCTCTCTGATCTGCCTCCCCCTTTCCGCTTCCTCTTTCTTCCCTCCCTGACCCTTACCGCTATGGAATGCTTACCTGTACCTAGTGTCCGCACGAGACTAAAGTCTTGAAGTCGAAAGCGGTGAGTGGGCGGTAGAGGAGAGGCGACGGCATCACGGCGCGAGGGGGTGGTTATGGTGGTGGTGGTGGGGGTGGCGGTGGTGGTGGTTGATGATGATGACAGATCGGTAGCTTGAGGGCCAGCGACGGTAGCAGCCATGGTGTTTCTGCGTCTCTCCTGTTTCTCTCGATGTCTCTCCTCTTATCGCCCTTTCTTTTCCTTTCTTTTTTTCCTCTCTTCTTTTTCTGTCAGTCTGTTTCGGTGAGGACAGTGTTGTCCAGGGAAAGCAGCCAGCTGTCTTCCGAGTTCTGGTGTAGAGAGAGAGAGAGAGAGAGAGAGAGAGAGTAGGAGAAGGAGAAAATCAATCGCTGGAGGGGGAGTCGCTGAATTCGAGATCGAAGGCCGAAAATGGCAGTATCCGGGACACTGGTTGGTTGTGGCGGTGGTGGCCCGTGATGGTTGCTGCTGTGGTGTCGATTATGGGGGTGGCGGCGGCAGCGGTGGTTGGTGGTGACAGGGGACGTGGTAGTGTGACGTTTCATGTATTAATTATAGGATCGGGAGCAAAGTATCGACCGTGGCAGCGAGTGGCGAATGAAGGGTCCCATGGGTCCGCTCCCTGTTGGGATTGATGGAAATGAGGCTCTTGGAGGCGGAGGGAGAGTTGGGGGGGAGGAGGAGGAGGAGGAGGAGGAGGAGGAGGAGGAGGAATGTATCGATAAGATGGCGTCGGTGCTGGTCGTTTGGCGTCGGTAGGAGCAACACCCGTACTTGCCTACTCTAGCATGAATTATTGTAGGAGTATATGTACTGTATGTGATGCAATGCTACAGTGGTGCAGGGCGATGCCTGTCGGATGGTAATTGACATGCAAGGTGCTGACGGGGTGTACGGGATACGTGGTGGCATACGAGGATCCAGAGCACAGATCTCAAGTACGAAACGAAGCGGAGGAAAGAGTGGAGGGGAGAGCCCTGGCTGGCCGGAGAGGAGGAGGAGGATGACGATGATGACGATGATGACGATGATGGTGGGTCAGCAGGACGGTTGGTGTTCTGTGCAGGTGCCGTCCGTGGCTTGTTATGCTGCGATGCTGCGGTGGTGCGAGCACATAACATAACGATGCATACGCAGACAGACTCGGCAGCACTGGTAGCAGTAGAGTAGACGAGAGAGCTGGGGGGATAGCATGTAAGGCTGCGACAGGTGTCAGGATGCTCACAGTCGATGCCATCAATCCCCACCAGATATATATGCCCGCAGTTGATCTTGCGTGTGACGATGTAGGATGGAATGGCCCGTACTGCCGAGTACTGCCCTGTAGGCTGCTGTACGGGTTCGCAGTAGAGAATCGACACCTATGACGCAACGAGCCTCGTCGACGACGGGCTATCATCATCACCTGCGTACGGGGCACGGAGCAATGCATGCTACGCGGTGATGATGTACCGAGAGCACGCTGACAAGTCCAGCAGTGCTGCGAGTAGAGCCTAGAGGTTGCCTCTGCGCGCCACGGTCCAGTGCTTGCGGAGGCAGTGGGCGGGGTGGGCCCAGAGGTACGCCTCGGTGCAGGGTGCGCGTGGGTGAGTGCCTCGACTGTCGGCGCCATGCCTGATGGCAGCAGTTGGGTTTTTGCTCACGACACCATGGGTATATTCTACGTGGTCCATCTGTAATATCACCATAACATCATGACATCGTATCATGTAATCTGCATGGCTGAGAGGTACGGAGACTGCCAGCTGCAGCTGTAATCTGTAATGCTCGTACAGATTGAACCTGTACATGCGCGGGGGCACGTACTCGACCACACCTGGACCTGCGGAGCTTGGACACGGTGACGTCTACCTGCAAGACCGCCGTAAAGTCTCCTGCCAACCTGCTGCGCCGACGGCCGTGCCCTGTATCAGCCTCCCGTTCCAGGGGCTCGGCTCGAGGGTTCTTCCCTACGGGCGAGTGATACGGAGCGTACAGGTGATACTCGTATATTATTACCTTGCCCCCCCCCCCCCCCCCCCCCCCCCCCCCCCC